CCTGTGCAGGCGGGTCCCACCTTGCACTCTGAGCAGCTGGGCTACGCCCTGCCACCTGCGACCCCCCATCAGCAGGCTGGAAAAGGAGTGAATGAATAAGCTTGATTGTTTAATATTAGAAATGTTTTGGTGTCTTCATTTGGGTGTTTGGTGATTTTGTGACCAGAAATCGGCCATAGGAACCTAACTCTTGTCTGTGTCCATTAGTCTGTGGTCAAATTAGTTTCCTTATATGTCATTAAGTTTGAAGTCCCGTGTATGCATAAATAAATAAATCTTAAAAAAAAGTGTTCATTCCCAGTTTCCAAGAATTTATCATTGATGGTAAGTGAGGACTTATGTCTAGGTATTTACACATACACACATACACATTTATGTAAATATACACACACTCTTGTGCATGCACACACACACATACAATACTTTAAGACATCAGAGAGCTAACAAGCAGTAAAAATTTGCCAGAATCTGGGGAGGCTGGAAGTTGAGGGAGATGAGGCCAACATCTGACAACTCTAGACGAAGGGCCTCTCGTGGTCATCTTAGCAGCCTCATAGGGCCGGGACACACAGGAGTGGGAGCTCAGGGTCTGCCTGGAGGAGGCAGCTTTGGCGAGCCTACCTCACTTTTTGTTGGGCTCCTTCAGGACTGCACCCTAGCAGTAAAGGTGACCTGGAAGCTAACAGGCTCTCGCAGGGACTGGGCTCAGCGTTGTTCACCTCAATCCCTCAATTTGTATTGAAGTGACCCCAGATTGCTAGTTAACCCCTTATCAGATATTTTCTCCCATTCAGTAATACATCTTCATTTTAATGATAATTTCTTTTGCTACCTAGTCACCGTTTTTGAGCTATGTGTGCGTATTTAAATTTATATATACATAATAAATATATATAAATTTAAACACATACACATATGTATATAGGTACACATGTATGTATGTACATATATGTATATATACACACATACACATAGATCATATACATTTATATATTTAAATAAATTTAAGTATTCTAAATACTTAAAATATTTATTTCTATAAAGTAACTTTCTCTTACATTGTTGCTTTCTCCCCTCAGGTGCGGTCCCTGTGGTTCTCCCACCACCAAAGCACCCACACACCATCACCATATTTTCTTGTGCCCTTCCTCACTCTGTTTTTAGCTTTCCTACTCCCTCTCCTCGTCCCCTCATGGGTGCCTCATATCTATGGTCACCTTTCAAGTTTGTCTTTATCCAATTCTTTGTTTGATTTCCTTATATTCCTCCTGTTAGTGAAGCCATGTGATATTTTTCCTTTTCCTTCTGACTTATTTCACTGAGCATAATCTCTTCCAGCTCCATCCGTGTTGCTGCACATGGTATCAGATTATCTTTTTTGATGCCTGAGTAGTTAGTATTCCCTTGTGTATTCGTGCCACATCTTCTTGATCTATTCATCTGTTTTGGGGTGTTTAGGTTGTTTCCATATCTTGGCTATCGTAAGTAGTCCAGCAATAAACACAGGAGGGCAGGTTTCCTTTTGAATTAGGTTTTTTGTGTCTTTCAGGTATGGAGGACCTACTGGGTGGATATCACCAAACAAAACAGTCTAAAATCTTTGTCTTCATGGCACTCACATCTAGTAGGAGACAACAATAAACAAAAGAAGTAAAATGTTTACTGTCTCAGGTGCTTATAATCACCACTGGGAAATGTGAACAGGGTCGGGAATGCTGTGATTTTATCTTATTGATAAGATAATATTTGAGTAATGATCTGAGGGAGGTGAGGGAGGGAGCCAGGAGGACATGGTGGGGAGATCACAGCTCCACTGTTTTGTTTTGTTATAACTGTATAGTTTAATTAAATATGACATGTCACAGATGAAATGCAAGTTAAAAGAGAGTTGTTTCTCTGAGCAATAAGTTAAATGCTTTGAAAAGACTTGAAAAGGTGAGTTGCAAAGAAATGCTGTCAACTTAGAGGACAAAAGCTAAGAGATTGGCAGAAAAATCCCACAAAAATTGGGAAGAGTGCAGCAGCATGCAGATTATTCCACAGTTTCCTTCTTTAAAATGCTGCCTGCTGAAGAAATTGGAACTAGATACCATAGCTCATATATTATAGCTTTGATTTATGCAAGAAAGAAAAAAGAGAAATCCATTAGGGTTCCTAGGTTCCAAAATAAGATCTTCTCCTTACCTCAAAAGTTTGGTGAACAAATGACATTGCTTATTTTGGGTTAAAGTAAACCAGTGAAGGTAGGAGTGCATTATGTTTTATGATTCTTCACGGTGGCTTTCTTTAATAACCTACCAGCTATGAGCTCTGATATTGGAAGCTGGCCAGTTTGCTGAAGAGCGGAAGACATCAATGAGAGGAAAGCTATTTTTCTGAAAAAAAAAAAAAAAAAAAAAAAAAAAAAAAAAAAAATCAATGTGTCTGACTGGCATTCCCCTTCTCTGCCTAAAGCCATTCTGCTCCTTTTTGGCGATCACTGAAGAAAACAGGGAGAGGGAAGGAGAGAGGGGATGCATTCAGGAGACCTAGTCCAGGCTCTGGTTGTGAGAACGTGGGCAGGACATGTGACTTCCCGGAGCCTTCCTTTCTCTATCTGTGACACGGTATAGCAATAGAGCCTGCCTCTCGGAACTTTTGTAAGGCCTAAAAGGATCAGGTGCCTTTCAGATGCAGAGTACATTGCCTGGCAGGTTGGAAGTACTAGCAAGTTTTAGGATTGCCATGCATTGCAACTCAAATAGCTAGAACTGCATAGAACCTGGAGTAGACGAAGTAAAGTCTGAAGGGAAGAGGACTCTATTTGGAGGAGCAGAATAAGCCCCAGAAGCAGAGGCTAACACAGTGGCCTCTGTGGTACATGGGATGGCAGTCTGGGGGATCTCAGAGTAGCAGATGGTGTCTAGCCAGCAGATCCTCATTTGGCACAGAGAAAGGGCAGCCAAAAACTCTGCTAAGCCCTGGCTAGGGCTGGAAGTTGATGAGCAGAAGGCCCAGGCTTTGTGGGTGACTCAGGAAGTTGGGGCTATCTCCAGAGTTACCATTTTGGATTTTGAGAGCTGGGTAGGACAGATGTCTTTATCATGTTGAGCACCTGGGTCTACTCCCTTTGTAGCTCCCTGTGTTCTGTGGTCTCCTAGGATGCCTTCTGGTTTCCCAAATTAGGTTCTATGGCATTCTTTGAGAAGCTAATGGATGTTCTGTGTGAAAAGTTTCCTATGCCACCTATAACTGCTACTCTAACTCCTATACTGTAACAATGATAATGGCCAATATTTTGAAGGTGTGGTGATCTTGAGTGCCTGGGAACCAAAGTATTTTCCAGTTTTTTCTCCTTAATTCTCTCAATGTGTCAATGAGATCGGTCCTATTATTATCACCCCATGTCATCATAATGAAATGGAACAGCAAGAAATGATGCTCAGAGGGATGAATTTGCCCAGTTATATCGCAAGGGAGTGGAAGAACAAGGATTTGAACCCAGGATTTGAACTTATTTTTTCTTTTTAAATTTTCATTTTTAATTTCCTAACACCGCCAGTCACCTTTGTATAGTTATTGCTCCCCCTATATAGTGGCCTTCCGCCAATTTTCCACCCACAAACCACCACCCTGGTCCCCCACACTTCCCTCCCCAGCTCTGATCACTCCAGCTCCTCCCTAGATAGATGATCAGCCCACGAGCCTTGTTCTTTTTCTGGAAACTTGTACTTTTCTGGGCAAGAACCCTGGGCTCCTGGACCGCAGTGGACCAGGCTGCTCAGATCCCCAGGAGCAGCTGGGAGGTAGGTAGCAAGCCAGAGCAGTTCTGGAACCACCTGAAGGGCAGGTGTAAGGTGTGATTCACCGGACTCCATGATTTTGAAGCTTGCTATGGAAAAGGAGACTGTCCTGTTTCCTGTAGACTTTGTGGTCTCTGGCTTCTGTGCCTTCTCACCCACACTGATTGTCCCATCCATTCAAATGACTGTCACATGATGCTGCTTCTGAGTCTTATAATTCTGGGCCTTGGGAACCCAGCTCCAGCCAGTGTCGGTGGGGAGGTTCCTGGTGTGGTCCAGCCTCCCTCCTTTTCTTTCGTGGTTTCCAGTCCTGCCCTAGGTCCCCAGTGACAGCTCCGATTCAGTTTCCTCCCCCAGCTGGAGAAGGAGGAAGCCTCACTCCCATCGCTCACATCTCTGGGCCAGGGGTTTATTGAACAAGGTTCCAGAAAAACTAGTTTTGACCTCAAGCTCTCTGTTCCTAACTTGTATTAGGTTTTTTTCCCTAAACCCTTATCTGACAATCAGGTGCATCCAATATCTCATGTGGGAATATTTTGCAGAGCAGAGATCTTTGTTTTGCAAACTCAGGAGAGTGATTTCAGGTAAATACATAGCAAGTCCACCCCCCTGTTGGGCTCTGATGTGCATTTGAGAGGACGACAGCTGTTCGTGTCTTCAGTGCCCACGCGCCCCCCTTCTCTAGTCAATCCAGAACGGCCATATAAAAGGTTCTGAAAGTCCTTCAGTAAAGACATTGCTTTACTTTTCTCTAACCCAGTTGTCCCACTTTATTTTTTCTCCAAACGCCCTTCTTTCCTTCCCATTTTCCTGCCGCTCACTTATTGACATCCACAGGAAGATTATTCCATGAAACCCTGTTTGAGTAATTCCTCATGTAAGGGAGGCATTTAAGGCTGTGTGTAATTTCTTCCCCAGATGGGGGGAAGCCCATTTCATCATACACCCCCTGCTGGTACTGAATAGGGCAAGAGTTCTTTCTTTACATAAAGGGCAACATAAAATAAACCCAGACATAGCCTGTAAAATCTTCTAGAAGATATTGTTCCTGGGATTAGCCACTTGGAATTTCACAACAGGGAGGGCTTTGGAGGGAAATGGCAAATCATGATTTATTGATGTACCCTAAAATTTTCAATGTGTCATAAAGGGAAACTTGACAAGAGGGAACCTCTTAAGAGTCTTGGATGACATTTGCTTGAAATTGGCTTATGGTATATTCATATCTCCTTTGCAGACCTGGTCCTAGATGACTATGTGAGTAATATCTTCCTTTTGAAAGCTTTTCATTCTTTATTTCATTTTCTTAGACCTTGGCAAGATTGCTTAGGGGACTATATTCATTTCTAATCCAGGGAAAAGAAAGCGTGTCTCTCCCTGAGACTCTAACCTCTGCAAACATGCAAGATAGTGAATGTCAAAGAGCTGTACAGACTTTTTTTTAAAAAAGATTTATTTATTTTTATACAAGAGCTGGGGTACAGGCCAGAGGCACGGGACAGTGAGAGGATTCATGAGAGACAGAGCGGGGAGCAGAAAAGGCAGAAGGACCGAAGTACACTGCTGAGGGGAGCAGCGGGCGCGACAGGAGAGGTCTGCTGTGCCATGTGGGTTGCTCCCTGGCCAGCCAGGAATTGAACCCACGCTGTAGAGGCTGCGGACAGCTTCACAGCGCTGCACTCAACCCGCTGTGCCATGGAGGAGGCCCTGTCCTGACTTTAAATAGCTGTCATTGTAAATATAAAACTGTAAGGCACATGAATAAAAACTCCTCGCACACGCCTGAAGGGAAAATAAGCTTGGAAAACTTTTGCAAGCACTTAAAAGATTTACAACCAGAACTGTGGCAGGTTCACTAACTGTTCACCAAATTAGTTTCCCTTCTTCATAGGTCAGACAGACTACAGTTCCAAAGCCTCCCTCAAAGTAGGTGTTACCATGTGACAGTTGGAGAAGGTGAACGGAATGTAAAGAGAAATGCTGTAGACCTTTTCCTGTGTGACCCCGAAAACCTCCCACCCACAAACCCTGCTCTTTTCTTGTTCATTTTTGTGCAATGTTTGATTTCTCCTCTCAGGCGTAGTCCCTGTAAAATTCCCACCACCAAGTCACCTGTGCACCATCACCACAGTCCCTTGTGCTCTTCCTCACACTGTTTTAACCCCTTTCCCTCCCCTGCTGAATGTCTCCAATTTATCTTGCCTGCTAGTTTTGTCTCTCCCCCATCCCTTATTAAATCTCTGATCTTTTCCATCCTGGCAACCTTGGAGGTCATTTGTCTTTGAAGATGGTGATGCCAAGAGGTAGAAAGATTCTGGTTCCTGAGTTACTGTTTCATCAGAGCTGCCCTGTCATCCAGAAACACTGCTTTGGAATATTCCAAGACTGATATGTAAACTTCTAGGACACTTGAGCTTTGGCACCTAGGGGGTTTGGGCGCTCTCCTGGCTGGAAGTCTGGAGGGGAGCTTGCACTTGATGGTGGCTGATTGTGGTGCCTGCAGAGAAAGAGCATTATGTAGTTGAAAGACCGTGAGCTGCAGAGCGAAGCAGACATGGGGGAAAGATTTGGGGTTACTTTGGGATTGCTTTTGGGATTACAGAATCACTTGACTCTGTGGCCTTGGGCAACTGTCTTCATCTCCCTCAACCTTTGTCTTTTCCTTTAGAAGATGGAAATAATATTTATCCTGCAGGCTTGTTTGGAAAGTTCAAGAAAATGCTTTTGTCACATCTGGGACAGTAATGGCTCGGAGAATACATCCTCATCCTCCTGTGTGACCCCGGAAACCCCCCACCCACAGTCCCTGCTCTTTTCTTGTTCATTTTTGTGCAATGTTTGATTTCTCCTTATGAAGCTTTGCAGGTTTCACAAACACTGATCCCACAGCAGGCAGAGGAGAGACACTGCAAGGCCGGGCAGGTGCCCACGTCTTCATCATTGCTCTACCCAAAATGACACCATCGGGTCACTCTTTGGTCTTCAGTAGAAGTTGTAAGTTGGTGGTGTGTGTTCCTCTTATACGCTGGACCTCTAGCCACCTGCCCTGCACCCCAGAGCTAGGTATCTGACAGCTGAAGTCAGCTATGCTCTAACATCAGCTGAAATTATTCAAAATAGTCCATCTTTAGTTTGCTTACCCTGCCTTGTCCATTCCTCCCAGGGAAAACTCAAGACTCTTGTCCACATTCTCTTTGCTCCCTTTTCCTCCCAACTGACCCTGGTGCTACCTCATGTGGCCCTGCGTGACATGTGTCCCTCTTTTGTCTCCTGATCTTTTGGCCTCTCCACACCCAAATAATAACATATCCTACATTTCCAAGCCCCCTGGGGTTTGGTAGTCGTCACAGCTTCTGTTGGGTGGCTCCTCTACCTATCACAGCTCTTGCCAGGCTCTCATCTCCCACTCCTTTCCTCGCCTCCTAAGACCTTCGTGGTGGTAACAGCTGCTGCCACTGCTGGTTCCTGGGTGCAGCCTCACCCCGTGAACCATTCCCATAATAAGGGTGTCTAGCACTATTACTGCCCACACATTGTCCTTTCATTCAATGGTCTTCAAATAGCTATTTGCATATGTCAATCAGGACCCTGGGGGAGGAGCACGTTGATGTTTCTAGAACGTTTTCATATCCATGATCTCTGAGCTTCGTCGTCGTTGTCAAGGGGGTAGGACCATCCTCATTTCATTGATGAGGAAACTGATGTTCTGGGAGGTGAGCCGACTTGTCCAAAGGCAGACTTTTGCCTTCAGACCTGCTACCCTCTCCACTTTATGTCACCGACTGGATCTGTCTTGTGTTCACTGCTGTACGTTCAGGGTTGGTGATCATGGAGCTGGTAATAGGTGAAGCTTTTCCTCAAACTCAGGCTGTCTGATGACCAAGGTCCAAGCTCATCCACATTAAGCTACACCACCTCCCTGGAGAAGAAGATCTGGCTCTCTAAGGGCCTAAAGCTAGGCCCTTTGTCCATGCTGACATAGGAAGTGATCAGTTCATACTCTTTGAATAGAATGAAACAGATGACCTGGAGCAAGATCTGGAGGAAATGTGACAGAAGGCAGGGAAGGCCTTTTCTAACAGAGTCTGGGTTTACCCTCAGCATAGTGCCTAGGACATAGTAGATGCTCAGTAAGTACTTGTTAAATGTTAAATGAGTGGGTAGGACCTTGGACATTGGCTTCCCTGGGGCATTGCTGCAATGACCTGTGACACTGGGTGTTTGATGTGGTGAGTCCTCAGATGGAAACTGTCAGGCATGTACCCCATCTGCACTCCAGATTAACCAGATCCTGCCTTTTTTCTGCATCTGTCTCCAGATTAGGGAACTTAGGCAAATCAAATGGTGCTAACTTGTCCCTGCCTGGCTTTCTGCCCACTCTGACGCCCACACCACGTTAAAATTAAATACTGGTTTGTAAATGTTATGTAGCTGGATCTGTGTGAAGCCAGCAGCTAGGGTCTAACAGGATTGAGTTCTGCAGCATGTGAGCTGCCCTAAGGGAGTGGAATCCCTAGGGTGGGGGCACCTCTATGTGCTTCTGCTTGTGAAGTTCAGAGTCAGGCAAGTCTCCATTAGCTGCAAATTCCCCAGGATCCTGAAAGAGTGATGGAGAGAAGGGTTCAACCTCATCTCATTATTTATTTTTGTTATAAAATGGACCTTTCTAAGGTAACATACATCAGGAGGCCTTCTCAGGGCTGCTTGGGTGACACTTCATATTTTGTCGAACAGATACTCCCTCAGTGCCAGCAGGCCCTCTGCCTGATTAATGACATCTCCTTCAACCTGGCTCTGTGTGCCTTTCATGTTTCCCTGGGTCCCCTGAGGAGCTGCCCTGCTGGCTTCTCACCATGGTGACAGCTGACACAGAGTGACTTCACTGCACATTTCAAGGTCACTCCCTCTTTGTGATTCCTCCCTCCACCACACACACACACACACACACACACACACACACACATGCTCAGCAGCAGCACCACTACCACCACCATGACGAAGAAAGTTTCATTTGAAACAGCTTCAAGATACAGCCTCCTGACTCAAAGACCCCTCCAGAGAGTGTCTACACACTAACTACTAAAAACACTCAGGTCATCTGGGATAACTGGCATGGGTGTGAGATGGTGTGAGAGGAAGACAGGACTGGATTCTCAGGCAAGAAGGGGGGACGATTAAGAGCATGGGTTCCCACATGCTTGGGTTTGCCCTTCTTATATTTATCACCTTGGTCTCTGAGTCTCAAGTCTCTCTTCTGCCCAAGGGGGATAATAGTACCAAGTCATAAAGTTACATTGAAGTTAAAAGAGAGGAAGAAGCAGTAGTGCTTTGCATATAGTAAGTGCTCAATAAATGTCAACTCTATAATCATTACTCGTAAAATAATAATGAAGCCATTTCTCCAAACATGAGGGCAGGTGAAGTGAGCTGTTACTGTACTCTTAAGTGGAAGACATGTTGGGGTGTTGCACTGGGCTCACTGTCTTGGAGCAAGAGTCATGACGGACCAGGTCAGGAGTCTGTTCAAGGAGTTGGGGGCTACAAGTGAGGGGTCACAACAGGAAAATAGAAGTCTTCTGAAGCTGTAACACAAAAAGACATCTGCATTACGGGAACCAAAGGGAATATGTTATACAGATAAGCAAAGAACAGAGCAGCCAAATTGAAATGGTGCAGTCACTCAGGGTAGTAGGAAGTTGCTACTCTTCCCAGTCAGGAGCAGAGAGAGGTGATGTGACCAGGAATAGGAGTCTCCCTTTGGATGCCGGAACCACAGAAAGACATCAGTGGAGCCGGATTTAATAGACATGATGCAGTTACTAGAGATGATTCCTGAGGCTGAGAAGAAAGGAGAGAAAGACCAACTCTCTTGCTGAGAGGTCACTTACCACCCTCCCATCTCAGCCTCTCACTGGACAAAGTCAACCAGCCACCAGCTCACAAAGGGTTCTGGGAAATGTAGTCCACAGAGGCCAGACCCTCTGATACAGACCTGAGAAGAAGGTGGCAGTTGGAGCTGAGGTCAGTTAGGTCCAGGATTTGCGCAGGGTTGAAACATAGTTCCTGGATACAATACTGGATTCCCAATTCAATTTGAATTCAGATAAACAATGACATTTTAAAGTGTAGGTGTCAAAACGAAACTATTATTTCAAAGTTATTATTCATTTTGACATACTGATACTAAAAAATTCATTGCTTATCTGAAATTCAAATTTCCCTGGGTATGCTGTATTTTCTTGGCTACATTTGGTCACTGTAGGTTGGAAGCAATTTTGGAACCAGAGCAAATTAGGACTCAGACCAAATTTGATCTGAAACCAAATTAGGTCTCAGACCAAGTTAGATGGTGGTAGGTTAGGAGATTGAAGACTGGAGAGATATCAAGCAGCCCGGTGAAATTCATCCAGTGGATTAATGCTGCCTACATTCATCTTAAGTGGATACGTTCAGTTATTCATTCAGTCATCTACCTGGTTATCCATTCTGTATCCTTCCTTCTACTATTTCATTCATTTCCTGCTTGATGAACACCTGCTCTGTGTCTGGCACTGTGATGGGCAGGGTGTATATCAGTGAAGACACAGTTTTCTTTCCTTGAGTAGCTTATATACCAGACAAGAATATAGATATTATACCACAAAGTGAAAAGCTATCTGTTACAGTATATTTATTTTTTATTTTCTTACATCATTGTTCATTTTTGTACAATATTTGATTTCTCCCCTCAGGTGTAATCCCCATAAATCTCCCATCACCACCTCATCCGTGAACCATCACCATAGTCCCTTGTGCTCTTCCCTCCCCTGTTTTGACCCTCTCTTTCCCCCATTTCTGCTGTATGTCTCAGATCTATAATTTGCCTTCTAGTTTTGTCTCTTTTTTTTTGTCTAACCCTTGTTCAATTTCTCTATATTCCTCCTATAAATGAAACCATCCACTATTTTTCTTTTTCTTTCTGACTTATTTCACTGAGCATAATCCCTTCCCATGCTGCTGCAAATGGCATCAGTTTATCTTTTTGACGGCTGAGTAGTATTCCATTGTTTATACACACTACACTGTTAGAATTTTAACCAGATCTCTGAATGGCTGCCTAGAAAGCCTGCACAGTCAAGGAAAGCTTTCTAGAAGGGGACTCATTCAAACTAAGGAGGAAGAGTCACAAGTGAAGGAGACTTGAAGGTGTGCATGCCTAAAAAAACAGAACAGCACACTCAAAATAGCGTCAGAGATTGGTGTATATTTGGGGGACTAGGATAATTTGGTCCAATGTAAGGAGCAAGGGGGAAAATATTAGAGATGAGGCTGACAATAAGTGGGGCCAGGGCTGCTGTGTGTGGTCAGGCACGTTGTACAGGATACAGTTCTATAGCATCACAGTCAAAGCAGAGTCTAGGGAGTGGAGTGCCTGAAACTTGTTCGAACACACTGGCAAAGCCATATGTGCACTCCTCATCCAGAAAATGCAGGAGCCAAGGAGCCATAGCAAGGAGTTTGGACATCACTTGGTAGAACCATGGAGTAGCATGACTAGATTTATATTTTAGAAAGAGCCTTTCTTTGCTCTGTGGAAAATGGATGATGGTAGGTCTGGAAGAGATTAGGATAGACCTGTGACGATACCTTTGTAGTCATCACTTTGAGCAAAGATGGTGGTCCAAACTGGACTTTCTGTTGAAGGGGAGATGTGTGGACAGACAGGAGGGAGCTTCAGGCAAGGAGAGGGATGCCATTTAGACACAGATTGGAAATGAGGCTCATGATCAAGGGAGATTCCACTTAAGTTTCTGGCTGGGAAAGTTGGGTGGATGGATAGTGGTGGTGTTCCCTGTGATGGCAAGCAGAGCTACTATGAAGTTGATAGAGAAAAAAGGCATAAAACATCAAAGAATATTTTTAGTTAAAATCTAGATAAATTCAGCCAAATCCACCATATACTTCATTTTATACTTCAACTGAAACAGGCTTCTCAAATTTTTTTGGCCCAAATATTTTTTTGCTATACTGAATTGTTCATTGCTCATTGTTTATTTTCCCTCCCTTTCTTAGGGAAGTATAATTCCACCACATGACCATTTTCTACTGTCTTCTAAGGCAAAATAAAGACATCAAAATACTGCTGCATTTCATTGTTACTAAAACACATACTAATGACACTGTGTCATCTCAGGCACTGGGCTGCATCTGGGAATTGAGGGCTGCTGGACAGTCATTTGTCTGTGGTTGTCACTGAGTATCTGGATACTTGGTTCCTATCCCTGGTGGCCTGATGTAGCCCTTCAGCTTTATAATACTTCAATCAACAAGCTGGTAAAGATCATACGGGGATGAATTGTGAATCCTGGTTGTTGTCTGAAAAACTTTTCATTGACTCTTCTGGTAAGATTGAGAAAGTTCTAGCATCCGTATTTGCAGGCTGGGATCTTCAGCTTTGATGAAACCTCTGGAGACAGTAGTGGGGCACCCTAAAGAAAAGTCGTATCAATAAGATGATGGTACAATGTGTGTGAAAAAAGAAATGAGAAAAAAAAGAGAAAAAAGGAAATGGACATCTCTGACTGTGAGTCAGAGTGATTTAGAGAATTGGATTCTGAACATAAAGGAGTTTTATAGACACCTTACCAATTTCTTTGGGCTTATATTTCCCTTTTTTATGAGTGTGAAGGAATAATATGTGATGAAAGTCTGAACAAATAAGTCTAAGAGAGCTCTTTAAATAGGTATCAAATAAAAATTATAAGTGATAAGAAAGCTTTGTGCCATTGTTTAATTGGTAGTGTTTTTTCTTTCTTAGGGCTACATAAAATAGAGGCGAGTCAAAGATGGATCTCACCAATGTAATGTTGAATGATAGGGGACATAAACAAAAGGATATATAATGTATGATGCTGCTTATGTGGTTAACAAACAGGCAGATGGAATATAGAGAAACCGAACAAGGACCAGAGAAAGACAAACTTTAAAACCGACGCTTGAAGCTGACCATAAATCGGAGGCCTCTGGGAGAGGAGGGAAGAGGATACAGGTGAGGTGGGGGGAGCGGGAAGGGGGAGGGGAGAAGACAGTGAGGGAGGGGCGCACAGTGGACTATGGTGGGGGACTATGGGTGCTTTGGTGGTGGGAAAACTAGGGTAACCACAGCTGAGGGGAGAAATCCTATATTGTGTAGAAACCAACAGGGATGTAAAATAATGATAGGCCATTAATAATAATAATATGATATCCTGAAAATACAAAACCAATAGGCAGAACCAAGATATAGGGTAGTAAGTCCAGGCGGGTGGTATTTTCTGGAAGATAAAGGGATCATGAGTGGAGATCTCTGTAAGGCTGCCACTGTTCTATTTCGTGACCCAGCTGTAGGTCACACAGATAGTCCCTTTATAATTATTCATATCTTGCTGCTTTGTACACTTTTCTCTGTGTGTGCTGTTTCTCGACAAAAATCATTAAAATGGCATGTCTTGTAATTACTAGCATCCTTGACTTGATGAAATGCAGAAATGTGTGTTTGTGTGTTGGGTGAATATTGTCTTTACTCTCTTCCCTGCTATGCGAGTACCCCTATTTAATCCGAGGCATCCATCTATCTTGCCTTAAGGAGAATTAGGGCGGCTAGAACAAGAACCCCAAACAGGGTCTTGATTTATAAAATAGGCTCTTAATAATCCAAAGGGAAGGACTTGAGAGGAGCAGAGAGATCAGGCCACAACTATACCCGTGACAGAGAATGGAAAGGGAGCAGTAGGCGACGTCTACCGTCTGTGGAGATACACATCGGTAGAAAGTGGAGAGGCTGGGCCTCCCCGGTGGTGCAGCGGTTGAGCGCTGGGTTGCAAAGCTGCCCGCAGCCTCTGCAGCACCGGTTCGATCCCCAGCCGGTTCGATCCCCAGCCGCCGGGTGAGGGTCCCACATGGCGCGCAGACCTCTCCTGCCGCCCACTGCTCCCCTCAGCAGTGTACTTCGTCACTCTGCCTCTTCTACTCTTTGCTCTGGCTCTGGTGAATTCTCTCACCCTCCCGTGTCTCTGACTGTACCCAGTGCTTGTATGTATAAATAAATAAATCTTTTTAAAAAATCACTATGGAAGGAAGGAAGGAAGGAAGGAAGGAAGGAAGGAAGGAAGGAAGGAAGGAAGGAAGGAAGGAAGGGGAGAGGCTGATGAGCATGGACAAGGCACCAAGGAGATGACCCCACCTGGCAGTGGAACAGAGGCAAATCATCATGAAAATACACTGAAGTACTCTTGGAGACCAGTTTCCAGACTGGTCCAGAAAAATCTGGAAGGAGGGATGGTGTTTATTTCTAGGTACAAGTATTGCATGTGTTTAAAACATTACTTATGCTTCCTTGTATTTTCTACATCTTCCACAATTAACATATTAATTGTGCTTATATCAAGACAGAAGTTCTTTTTAAGAAGAAAGTTAAACCTGGAACTCTGCCCTGTGTCAGGTCGGGTATGGAGTGGTGTCTGTGGCGGCCATTGCATCCCAAGAGAGTATTTACAACATCCCCTCTACATGCAGGATCCCACACCCCAGAGTCAGTGCAGGCACCCCAAACTGCATGCAGACCCATCCTTCTGCAAGGGCCAACCTCCCACTTGCCCACATTCTTGCTTGGTGCCTTTTGTCTTCTGTGGCATAAGCACAAGTGTACAGAACAGCACACAGATGCAATCTGTTGAGGGCAAGCAAGCATTGGTTGAAAATGCTCCCTTTTGCCAGTGGCAACAGCGTTTCTTTCAAACACTACCCAGCGGAGCACATCACCATATGGCACCTCCTCCATTCCTCTGTGATGCCTTGAGGACACTTAGGTATATAGAAAAAGAAAACACAGTCCATGCCCTAAGGGCGTGCACAATCTCCTAGGTGAGACAGATTGTACACAACTAATCAAAATACAGAGCAGTCATTTTGATGCTAGAGGAATGGGGGACATATTTTTCTCCCTGCACGCCATATACCGAGGCTAATATAACAGTAGGAGGATGTGTTCTTTTAGCATAATAATGCATATATAACGGGGTTAGCTTTGGCAGTGTGAGGGATCTGTTTGTTTTCTTGATAACCCATCCTAAGGGAGGCCGTGGGGCCGGGGTATGTCTCCTTTCCTCCTTAAAGAATTTGGGCCCCTCCTCATGCTCCAACCCAGTAACAGAACAACAGAAAGGCCCCAATTTGCGCTGGAAACGGAACACAAGGATGAGCAATAGACTGAATAAGCTAAGGGTCCAGGGCGCGAGGAAGTAGAGAATGAGGGTCCAAATGGAAGTTGTGTCCCAGCTGGATATACCTCATGGGATGTCATTCTTGAGAATCAAGAAGAAATCCTTGTACCCACTGAGGAGATTCAGGTCTTGGCATTGTGTTATAATAGAATAAAGAAACAGTTCCAATCTTTATCCTCTTGGGAATCTGTTCACTAGAACCCCCTACCACTTATTTTTTCCTCATGCCTGACCCACTGACTTATTTCTTCAATACACATTAAGTACACTCTGAAGGTATTTTGGTTTGCAACTCATTGGCTAGATAGGTGTTATTATTTTTATTAAAATTTTAAAAAATACCTAAATATGGCAAAAAACATAAATTGGAAGTAAATGTGATATAATGAATGTTTGCAATTTGAACAGGTCCACGTAACCAGCACCCGAATTATGAAGTGGGTTATTGCTAGTAGCTGGCATTCACTGTAACCCATTTAGGTCACTACCATTCACTTCCTGTCTTTCAGTAGAATATTTTGCTTGTTTTTGAACTTTCTATAAATTCAATCATACACTTGTGCCTTTGTGTCTGGCTTTTTTCACTCAATATTATATTTGTCACATTCATACACAATGTCACCTGCCATTGTTTTTTTTTTTTAATTTATACAAGAACCGGGGTACAGGCCACATGTGCGAGAGGGTGATAGGATTCACCAAAGACAGAGAGGGGAACAGAACAGGCAGACCAACCAAAACACACTGTTGAGGGGAGCAGTGGGTGAGTCAGGAAAGGTCTGCTCACCATATGGGTATCTCCACGGCTAGCAGGGATCAAACTGGCACCGCAGAGGCTGCGGACAGCTTCACAGTGCTGTGCTCAACCGCCTGTGCCACCAGGGAGGCCCTGACATTGGTTGTTGATTCTCACCACCCTACTCCATTGTATGATCATACCACAATATATTTCTCCATTTTACCCATTCAACCATCTATAGATATCTTGTTGGTTTCCATTTTGGGGTCACTGTGAACAGTGATGTTATAAACATCCTTCTACATGTCTTTTATGGAATATAGATGCACATTCTATGAGCATATACCTAGGAATGAAATGACGGGGTAATTTTATATGCATGTATCCTCCTTTGTTAGATTCTGCCAAGATTTTCAAAGTACTTGTTGAAATTTACATTTCTGCCTTCAATGGGTGAGAACTCCAGTTCCTCCACATCTTCACCTTGGCCAACAGCTCAGTGGAGAGGCACAAAACTGGAGAAATTGATAGCAGCATGATGTTGCAAGATTTTAAGGATACACCAGCATTTAATTACACAGTCACTCTTTCAACAACCATTTAATGAAGATTTGCTACATACCTAGCACTGAGCTAGGCTCTGACATATATTTGTAAAGTGATGAAGGAAATTCCTGTCCTCAGAGAGTTTATAGTCTATTGGAAAAAGAAGCATCTATTGTCAGAAGAATTATAGCACCAATGTCAAAACCTTATTCTCTGATTTCCATTCCAATTCTGGACTACAAATGAATTTCCTTTAAGCTCTGTCTACTTTCAGCCTACAGTCTGCTGGGGTCTAGATAATTTGACTGGCTTCCCTGAGGAATATCGATTGCTTGGATATGTGGATGCGTTTAGGTCCCAAAACTCTATTGTCACTCCTGGACATCAATTAGTGTATAGACTGGATCTTTGCATGTTGTTAATGATTCCAGATTTTTGCTTGATCATCTCCATTCCTCTTACTAGAAGCAGCTATGAAAGATGAGTTCTGTACCTCCACCACCATAGAATCCTCATTAAATTCATACTTCTTGTTGATTAACCAAATCTCATTTTCTTTTTGGGAGGAAACTCCATCCTTCCACACATTTCCTCACTTCCATGACTAAAGTCACAAAAGCTTTTTCTTTCTTGAATTATTGTGTCCATCCTTTATGAAATCAGTTTTTCCTAATACCCAGGCATGAAGAGTCATGATTCCATTGGCACCAGGCTAGACCAGACAGCAAAGACTTCCTCCATAACCCATGGTAAAGTTGGCCATATAGCCTCACAGTGTTTGTTGGAACTGGAACTGGAGCATATTGGGAAGGGGTGAGGACTGTGGGTGTGTGGCAAGCTTTGCCCCACTTTTATCCCAACATGGTTTATTGAGTAACTACTTTGTGCTGGGCATTGGTAGTAGGCACTGAAAATATATTCGTGTAGGTCAGTATCTACTGTTGCAAAACTTACAAGATAGACATGTCAACAAAATAATTACAGTGCAGCATATAAATACTACCAATGGAGAAGTTCAACTTGTGGAGAAGTTCAACTCCAAGTCCTAGGGGATTGTAAAGAGGAGGGGATCCACCCAATCCATAATAAAAGGAAGGCTTCCTGAAAGAAGAAACACTAAACCGAGACCTGAGGAACCTACAGGGGTGTGGGAAAGTAGGGAACAGTATTTCAAGCAATGGGAACAGTGCAGGCAAAACCCATGGGGAGAATATGGTGAATTTGAAGGCTCTAAATGAGTGCAGTATAACTGGGTGGGCATAGAAGACAAGTGAGAGAGATGCTTTAGAGGTGGCAGGGAGCAACTGGGCCATTTAAGCCAGAGTAACAAATGTGGAGTTACTCTTTTCACAAGAGAGGGCGGGAGGATGGGATTTTAAGCAGAAGGAGTTACATGTTCTGTTTTGCACTTTAGGGAGATCACTCTAATTAATGTTTGAAATAAGATGGTTCTCTGAGTGCTGTGATAATTGGGTAGTTGGGAAGATGGTGTGATTTCTCAGT